TCTATCTATCTATCTATCTATCTATCTATCTATCTATCTATCTATCTATCTATCTATATATGGCAGCTTGGCTGTTCCTTTACCATGCGGGATAAAGCAAGGTACAATTTTGATGTTCCCACCATGGCCTGAGCTTCTGGCAATGGTACAGCTGTCCCGGAATGTGCAGGCATGCTTGCTTTACTTAGCAAGCCTCCCCCAGGTCTTGGTGGTGCAGGATGTGTCTTTTTCTATAGCTACATTTTTGTCACAAGGTTGGCATCACAATGCAGTTGATATTACAGCTCAATGGCATCTGAGAGAAGTCTCATCAGACACGGCATTCGCACGCAGGTGAGTGCTGCAGTTCCCGTAAAGCCTTTTCTCTCCAGTTTTTCTTGCCTCTGTATTCTGACACATGATTTAACAAGCCTCCAGCCCCAAATTTCTGAACATCCTACTTACTCATAAGATACGCATGCATATACTTGCGCGTACACACACACACATTAAGTGCCTCATTGTTTCTTGCTATTTATGTCTGGGGGGGAAATTCTCACTCAAACTTGTAGTCCTCTAGTTACGCCTCACTTGGTCCCCTTTGCGATATGAAGAATTGAATGAAACGCCCTTCTTTTCTTGCCTTTGTTTTCTAACAGAAGTATTCTTTAGCACATATTCTGGTACAGCAATGAATGATGCATGGGTCTAATGTACATATTGGGAGCAGCCTTTGATTAAATTTGTTTTGATACTTGTAGTTTGCATTAATGGAATTGGATGCCACAGACTTTATTAAAAAAAACAAAACAGCTTACGAGTGATGGTAGTGATTATAGTAATTTTCAACAGGGCTTTGTAATGGGGAAGAGGGAAGGCCTACATCGTCAGCGGAAGTGGAAAATTATAGTATCCAGAATCTTTTTTACAGCATAAGGACTGCTGGGGATGATGGTTCAATAACATATGGAAGATCGCAGCATCTGCCTGCCCTGTTTGGAAAAACATCAGAGAAGCTATTTAGGGGAAAAGTAAGAGGGATGGGATACAAAAACATCTGATGTTGTATATCGTTCCTTGGCTAACTTGGGATGGCGGTAATGTGCTTCGACCTCACATTTCAACCTGTCTTTGTGCAGGTAAACCAAAAGCTAGAACTAGTCCAGAAGTTTTGTATCTCTGAAGACTGGTGTGAAGGAGAACAAGCACCCAAGTGTTGCTTGTTCTTGCATCCACAGGACCAGCTGGCATAGACCACTAATTTGAAGAAGAAATAAGATGCAGACACTGGCTCTCACAATTTTCATAGATTTTCGGATAAATCAGTGAACTGCCTATTCAACAAATGCAGCTGACTTAGAATGAGATGACATAACTGGGCAAATGCAAAGAGATAGTTTTCTAAATGCAAGGCCAACGCTGGTTTAAAGTATTCAGTTTTGGGCCATCTCTCCTCTGCGTTTCCTTGAGTGTTGTGTGCAGCTATTGGGACTTCCATCCATGGCTCTTCGTTTTCAATGGGAATGGGTGTTTAGTTTCTCTTTCCTGTCGCAGTTGAAGCCAATTGACAGTTTTAAATATTTAAAAGATGCTAAAGGCGTAGGTGGTAAAGATGCTAAAGGTGTTAAAAGATGCCAAAGGTGTAAGAATCTAAAGGGACGCGGTAGCTCAGTGGCTAAGACACTGAGCTTGTTGATCAGAAAGGTCAGCAGTTCGAATCCCTAGTGCGGCATAATGGAGTGAGCTTCCGTTACTTGTTCCAGTTTCTACCAACCTAGCAGTTCGAAAGCAAGTAAAAGTGCAAGTAGAAAAATAGGAACCACCTTTGGTGGGAAGGTAACAGCGTTCCGTGAGCCTTTGGCATTTAGTCATGCCGGCCACATGACCACGGAGACGTCTTCGGACAGCGCTGGCTCTTCGGCTTTGAAATGGAGATGAGCACTGCCCC